CCTCGAGGAACGTTCCCCGGCGCCAAATCGAACGCGACGGGAAATCGGAATGGTCGGTGTAACGCGAATTCAAAATACGCGTTGGTGTTTGATTGAGACGTCACTCAAACGTGTATGTTGACTGATAGCCCCATTAACACGTTGACGCACTATCTGTGTTTGCCGGCGCGCTCGGCGCCCGAGTGCGATCAAACCCGCCCGGCGATTTCCAAATATTTTATTACTTCCTTTATCATTTCATAGAGCGTGTCACGCTCTATGTCATAATAATGGAAACGTATTTTGCGATCTATCGCACGGGATACGGCGGGATACTGAAAGATTTGTATCGTCGAGGAAAAGGAGGATCGACGTGTCCGAGTGACGTATAAAGGACAAGTGCCTACTACTCCGTCATAATAATTTCACGAGGAGTCCGCACTTTCACGACGAGAACTGACTTGCGCAAAGACTTAGCGACAACGACAAAGTTATAATTTTACCTGGCCTGGAAGGGTCACGACGACAACGACGACGACGACGACGACGACAGCGACGACGAAAACGACGAGGACGAGGACCACATCTGAGCGGAATACCGACATCGGCAGGTATCTCGTAATCGGCAACATAACCGGGGAAAAGTTCGGCGACAGTTCCTGACGAGTGTATCCGTCGTCGTGCTCGATCCATTAGTGTAATTGCAATTTATTTAGTAATTACTTTAATTAGTGAGCACCCACCCGTGCTTCAAGAGGTTCGCTGGAGTTGCATCAACGGGGGCAGAACCGGGGTGGGACGGTGAAACACAGATGAAGAAGGAGGGGGAGGCAGAGAGGAGGGGAAGGGTGGGAGGGAGGGAGGGAGGGAGGGAGGGCAGCGGCGGTAGGTAGGGTACTAACGGAATTAATTAATGAATTAGCCTTAAGGGATAAGGCGTAAAAACAAGCGGAGAATCGGGTTGAGGCGGCGCGGACGAGCGCCCGATTAAAATAAGTGGACTAAGTAAGCGAGTAACTAGCTAAGTGACGACTAACTGCCGTAACGTCGGAAAAGAAGAGCGAGGCGGATTCTCCGTGAGAATTAATGGCGCCCCCTCCCTCCCCGCCCACCCGAAATCCTTTCTTCTATCCGAGTCGCTTTAATACAACCGGCCGGCCTGATGCAAATTAAACTACCTTCGGAAATCCTTTATCGCGCTGCCGCGCTTAAGAGATATCTGCGCGCAAATATTCCGTACTAACTCGATTGTCAGCATAATCGATCCGTGTGCGATTATATCTTCCGATGACCGTTGGCCCCGAAAAATGATGATCGTGATGATTAAAAAGATTACGCTGTGAGACATCTCGTTCAAAGTTCACTCGAATCTGTCTGGTTTGAGTACTGATAATGTGACGTACACAGAGATAATGATAACAATCCGAGTGTTCCGCTTCTTTTTTTCCTGACCTGAATACGTGGAATGATGATCCGTCTGAATATCACGCTTTACTTTATAATAATTTAATGAAGTACAACGTAATTAAATTATATACCTAAGCTTTGTACCGCATCACTGATTTCTATTCAGCTGCGAGATAACTTCTGTTTAGCAGCTAACTTGGCATTACCAAGGCTGCTCCTCCTCGTTCTGTCGCCATAGCTGCAAGCCACCGGGTTTTTTTTCTATAAACCTGGCTCTCGAGCTACAAATCAGTTTCACGTGACTCGCGCGGTCGGAGCGGCGACACACTCGTGCGGAAATAATGCCGCTAATGGAGAAAAATCGCCCAGGTGTGATAACGCGGTGCCTTCGTATCCGCTAATGTGCTACACGATGTGCTACAACTACCCGCGCAATTAAGCGAAACATGTCGACGGGACGCTGGGAAAAAGAACGAATGAATGTTGTCATTAAAGAATCTTTTTCAATATCTAAACACGACTAGTAATATAGAAAATATATAGAAAAAGATAATATGTCCTAAATATATAAATGAGGCGACGCGACGCGACGAGATAAATGAGCTAATTACACGATAACGCCTGGCGATTTTCGAAACGAAATAATCGCTTCGGCGAGAAAAGCAAATCGAGAATTGAGAACGAAACCGTTTGATCCTATTCGGGAGTTTCCTTCTGGCGATCGATCCGCGGGGGGTAACAACAAGTGCGCAAAGCGTGATCCGATCGGAATCTCACGATTGACCTGATTTTCCGCGAGATTAATCCGCGTAATTCACCTTCGGCACCGTGTCCAGCCTCGTGACGGTACGGGCTTTATTTTTCCGCCTGTCCTCCCCCGTCAGCGTGTAGATACGCGGCGAGCCGTGTAACGAGGGGGAAGGACGACGGGGGGAGATTCGGCGCGGCCGAAGGATCTCCGGGATCCTTCGAATTGGGAGGAAATCGAGAGACTGTGAAATTTTCATTCGTGCCGGCAGCAACGCCGGAATGTCGCCGCTGACCGCTCGTTGGGAATTCACTCTCGCGCTCCTGCCGCCTAATAACTCGAGTAGAAGAGGGATGCTTTTCTGCAGATACGACTGTAACAAGGAATAATTGAATTAGAAGGACAAATGGTCTCCTTCCGCGTACAGACGCTTCGTCGGTACATTTCCACGTTGCTGCCGTTCCAAAAATATTTTATAAGCTCGCGCGCGATATAATCTTACGGTATAATACATTTTTTTTTCTTACTTGTTCCTCAAATTATTTCCAATCAACTATTACGCGATTGGCGCGCTGCACTTCCATAAAAAAACTAGATAGACAAAAGAAAAGAAAAAAAAACGATACGACATTTAATTAATACGCGGGACACACGTAAATTTTATTCCGTCGAGGGTCGAAGCGCAAAAACGAAACGCGGGGGAGTGGAGTTAATTAATTATTCCCTTATTACGCTACACCGGGATGAGGGAGCGCGAGAGAGCGCGCGGGGAGCGCGGGAAGAGAACGAGACTGCAGTCGTCTCATTTCTGACTACCTAGCGAAAATTTCGCTAAAGTGCTGCTCATGTGGAAATGACATAATTCGCGTGCGGCAAGGGCAATTGGCAGTAATTAAAGTGGGGCGGTGAGAGAGGGGTGGCCGGAGGGCAGCGGGGCATGAATGAAATTAAGGCGGGTAGCGAAGATGACCGTTTACATGGGTCCACGTCTGCTCGACTACGCTCTCTCTGTACCGCGACAATAAAACGAATTTGCATACGGGACAACTCGCCCCCGGACGAATGTCCCATGTCTGCGTCTCTCGGAGCGGAACATTTTCCTCGGACGGATGAAACGGAGTCATTGACGCGCCCGAAAAGGCTGAATTGCCGTGTATTAAGAATTTATTAGTTCGTCGTTCGTCCTTTCGAATCGCGAGTATACGCTACGCGACCGATCATCGCTATGTGGCCGTGTGGGATAAAATTTTCGCGTCTAAGAAAGAGATATCGGAATATTCCTCGTTCCTCGTACGTTACGTAATACTCGATGAAACAGAAACTATTTTCTCTTTACTAAAATTCGCCGCTTGCTGCCTAACGTATAATAGTTCGGTCAAACGCGAGCCACCTTCCGAAGTTGATACGTCCAGGCTGGAACTTTGCGACGACGATGCGTGGCAAACGGTTCGGAACGGTTTAAGAAACAAAAACGGACAACGTCGAGATGCGAAAAAATATTCGCAAAGGGAAGCAAATACCGAAGCGAAACGCACCGCAGCATTTTTGCGGCGAACACAGACGACACACGTGTGGCGGCACACGTTTGGCGCGCACGCGTTCGCTCGCTCGTTCATTCGTTCGCTCGCTCACTCGCTCGCTCGCTCGCTCGCGCTATAACGTATTTGCGAGATCCGCCGCGCTGATGGACATATAATGCGACGTGTGATTGTAGGCCCGCCAATCGCGGCCGATTGTGCCCCTGAAGGCCCGCTAACTATCTCAAACTAGCCCCATTCAAGCCTCGCGACCTCTCTCTATCCACCTCTATCCGTCTATATCCATCTCTGTAGCCCGCCACACACCTCAGCCACTCTACCCCTTTCGCTCTCTCAACCCCCCCGGGTCCCTTCCGACCATCCCCCCCCCTCGGCCTGGTCCCGTCTCCAAAGCGAGCGCGAGCGCGCGAGTCTACGCGCGTCGCGTCTCTGCTCAGTTCCTCCGCGTTACACACACACACACACACACACACACACACACACACACACACACACACACACACACACACACACACATTATATATAATATATATAGTATATATAGATATAATATAAGCCACACGCGTAGGGCGTACGTGGAAATTCCGAATCTATCAGCCGCCCAGACGAATGCAAATGGCACATGAAGCGCGCTTAATAAAGCCTGTACGCAACTTGCGAATCGCAATTTTCTTTAGGACGTGCTGCCCGTGACGATCACGCGTGGACTCCGTGCGAAAAATTCCTGGCTCTTTCCTGGCGAACGACGCGATTCATCGGGATATTAAATAAATGCATCATTTAGCTGTGGGCTTTCAGCGAATTCGTGTCTTGAATATAGCGAATACACGATTCGATCGCGAGGCTATTCTTTATTCGAGTATTCTTTGAGGCTATTCCACTTAAGTATTTACAGATAATTCCATTGCGATCAAAGGAATGTTTAAACAATTATCTTTTAGAAATTATATTTTATTAGCAAACTATAAGACTTAATAGACTAAAACTTAATAGAGAAGGAAATGGTGTCAATAATGAGCATTTTATTACGTTTTCTTATTTTATAAAAAATATATATAATTCGTATTACTTAGATTACTGTGATATGTGTATGTATACGTCAGTATCTAAAAAATCTTATTTTATATATTCTCTTTTACAAATTTAATTCAATCTAAATTATATCTAACGTTTCCTCACATTAGATTCAGTAATCCGGCAAGATTATTATTGGCAAAATTAAAAATGTAATTTTGCCAATTGGAGGTACATTTTATATATTATTTTTCTATTTTACTTCTATAAATGCATATTATGAAAAAGAAAAAGAAATTGTCTAAATAAAAGACAGAAATTGTCTAAATAAAAAGAAGCTATAAAAAGAATTTAGAATCATCGTAATTATTATACCATCAATTAATCACGATGGTACGTTTGTAAATGTTTCTTCTTTCTGCTGAAGATCGGCAGGATTTGATTTTCGATGAATGACCGATAATAAGTTCGCCGATACTTGCGGATCGATCGATATGGACACGCACGATCCGTCTACTCCTCTCTGATATTTTTGTTGTGGTAACCACCTATAAATTAAAAGTAAGTAAGTATATTTTTTTCTTCGATTGTAATAAAAGTTTCTAAACGATTCTTTCGATTACCTATGAATCACCGGGGATAGTAAATTTCTATCGATCGATGAGGGATCTCGTGCACCTGTCATCCAAGTGACAATGCCACCTACTACGAGTACCGCCAGCGTGCCGATAGGAGCAACCCAGTGATAGGACAACCGATACAACGGGAAGACATCGTCCTCGCTGCACAACACGCGTGAGTTAATCGAAACTCAGACGCGAAATAAATTCAGAACATTAATTGAAATAAAAATAACCGGCTTACCTGGACCACTTGTTTGAGAGTTGTTGAAAAAAGTCGTCACTATAATAACTAATATTTCCCGTGCAGGGCGGGACTGGAAGTTTCTTCGGCATTATGAGACCAGAACCGATAGCCGCATTCGCTCCAAAACTGACCCACCCGGACATTACGAAGCCTGCAATGGCACCGATAAGGGCACCCTATGCAAAACAAAACAAATGAACGAAACAATAGATTTTTTTTTTTTTTTTTTAGAAAATGATAATTGATATAACGTAGGTACGAGTTAGTTTTATTTCGTACCTTGGCGTTTGTCCATGGGAACAAGATTCCTAGAGTGAAAACACCAAAAGAAGTTCCGGCAGCGATGGCGGCTAAGCTGTTAGTCACCTAAAAAATTACAACAGCATTTTAAAATTTTAAAATGGATCGTGGGATGACAATATAAAATTCAGATACTCACGGATAGAACCCCTCCTAGCTTTTCAATCAAGAAAAGAAAGCAAAGCGCCGTCAAACCAAAGAGAACGACAAGGCTTTTCACGAAAATTGTGGAACAACGATCGTTGGGCTTCATTTTGAAACAACCTTTGACGAAGTCTTCTAATATCACAACGGACGTCGAATTAAAGCCTACTGATAACGAACTGCGACAGAAAATGGACGATTCGTGAATATTTGCTCGCAACGAATCAACAATTAAACGTTACGTCAATAATTGCTAATTTTCTCATTTGGCCGATTTCACGTCAAATGAAACAGTAAAAACTCGCAAAGGTAAGCACTACAGAAAATTTTGGAGAAGATAAATTATTTCACTTATCTATTCGGATATTCTTCGGACATGCAAAAATCGCGTCTGATTATTAATTAAAATTTATTTAAAAGATGAATCTTTTTTTGTGAATATTATTATTCGAAATTTGTCGATCTAAATATAAAAAGCGGAGGCAAATCAACAAATGATCGTTGCATTGTTATTTTATCGTGTTAGTTCGATCTTCAATACCTGAGTGCCGCGCCAAAAATTCCGGAAATAAAGAGGCCGGGTATCCCATGTAAATGATGGGCGATCTCCATGACATAAGCCGGCAGTAGTTGATCATCGGCCGTAATTAAGCCGGAAACTCTTGGATCGCATTTCGGCGGCGACCACCAAGCGAGAAGGACCAGGCCGCACCAACAGCATATTGAAATAAACACCATTATACTGATGGTAAATATCGCGATGGATCTGCAATCGAGATATATAAAGATTTGTGACATTGCCTACATTGACATGAATATGAATGTAAACGTGAGCATGAATACGAATGATAAATATGTAATACTTATCACATATTTTTTCCATATATATTTTTAGCTTTTATTATCGTCCAGCATAAAATTAGAATAGATATTATTAACTTTTAATCAGTTTACTCACAATTGAGATATTTTTGTGCTTTTTAACGATTTGTATCGTTGCACCATGGTTTGATTGACGGCGATATACGCGGTGACGTACAACCAGGAGCCAATCAGTACGGTCCAAACGCTGTGCCTCGTGTACGGCGATGGATCGAAACTGCAATGCGAGAGAATACAAGGGAATATTTAAGCATACTCGACCGCTATTAGATAATTCCGATCGTATTCTTTGCATTGTTACTTTAAAAATTGAATGCGACCGGCCTCGGTGGCCCTCTTCCAAATTTCTGCCGCTCCCATTTGACAGGTCCCTAGAACGGCAACGGTGATAACCGCTGCTATCATCACGCCGACTTGTAACGCGTCCGTCCAAACCACTGCTCGAATACCTCCCTAATGAAATATCATGATAGATAATAGGATAGGATAAAATATCTCATTGTAAAGAAAGAGACTGATCTCAATCTTATCTACATGTTCTATATCGGTTTGCTTTCTTCTTTCGTGACAACTAAAGTGAATTTGAAAAATGAATTATTTCGTATTACAAGTAATTTCCTTTATC